AGAGAGAGAGAGAGAGAGAGAGAGAGAGAGAAGGGGAGAGGAGCCTACCATACGCTTCCCCCGGTGCTGATCGCGGGAGAGCCCAATCACAGGGCGAGCTGGACCCGGCTGTGATCATTTATAATCCTTGACTCCTCCGCTCCGCCACTTGTCAAGATGACAGGTACTTTATTTCTTCTTCTTTATTCAAAAAAAAGAGATTCCCCGTTTACTGCCTTTTTCTGTCAAATGGGATTTGCCGGACTGAACCACGTTCGCCGCCCCTCCCTCCCTCCCTCCTCCCGGCCGCGTCGGGTTCGGGGAAAGCACCGAGGCTCCCATGCTGTGACCAATCAGTGCATCTACTACTCTTGCCGTGATTTAGGGGTCATCCATGAATAACACTTCACGCTGATGAATGGCTCTTGCCGGCTTTCGGCTCTGATGAGGGGTCTGCCCGCCGCTGATTGCAAACACTAATGAACTTACAGCGCCATTTGAAATTCACACGCACCAACAAAGTGCGGGGGTACGTGCGTGGGGGTCTGTCCTTTTCTTCTCCCGGTGACCGGGAGGAGGACCTGGGGGAAGGGCGGGTAATTGCTTTGGACTTAAGTGGAAACACTTCTCTGTGTAATCAAACCTCTAACCTTCTTAGAAAACTACTTTTCTTGATCTTCCGTAGGGTGGGCATTTCAGGTCAGCTGAGTCACCCGAGGAGGTGGGAGTGCAAGACACTGCCGGGAAGATGGATTCCGAGGCAGAAGGGTATAATTAAGGATTGCCACCCCCGGTAGGCGGCCCGTCCTTCACAGAGCCTCTGAAAATGACCTGCGCCTTTCCTTCCAGAGTGTCCTCTCCTCCGAGACTGTGAAGCGCAAATGACCTTCGGACAGGGGAGGGCTGCACTAAATCCTTAGACTTCCTTACCAGCCCGAGCTCTGCACTGTCTAAAACAAGTGCTCGCCTCCGGGTTCAAGTACCTCCAACAAGTATGAACTGGCGAGGGGCGCACTCTAGAGTCCTCTAAAGCCTCCAACCCCACTTTCCCCCCACTCTCTCTCCCCCCTATCCCCCGCCTCTTTCTCCAGTCTTTCCTTAGTTTTGTAGCCCAACACTGCCCCTGCCTCAATTTTGTTTGCTGTGGGAGGGGGAAAAAGTTTACTGCTGTCCGCGACAATGCCACTTCCTATTCACTTTGGTTCCCATCAAAACTAGCTCCAGGATCCCAGCCTTCCAAAGCCCCCTCCCTCGCCGCCACCGCCGCTGGCGAGCAGAAAGCCCTGCAGGAGAGCATTTTAAATGGCCCGAAGTTCCCACTGTTGGAGTTTTAGAGCAACAAACCCGGCGACCTTCACAGAGCCGCTCACTGGCTTCCCAGCCCCTTGCCACTTCCAGGCACCTTTCCGTTCGCTTCTGCAGGGGCCGGGGTGGGGAGTGTGAGCTTGGGGAGGAGGAGTGCGCGTGGCTCCCGGTGGGGCGCCGGAGCGTCTCCCCGCCCTCCGCTGGGACCGGCCGCCAGCCTGCGGGTAGAGTCAGTGTCCCGGCCTCCCCGGGCCGCCGCCAACCCCTACCTCTCCCCAGCTGCGTAGCAGAAGAACTGGTGCGCTCCGAGCCTTCTCATTCACCTTCCACGCTGTAAGAGCGGAGGATTCTACCAACCTGTACCTAACCTGACTCGGCCGGAGAGAAAGATATTTGTATTTTTAACTGCGTGCAGAACAAAATCAAATCTAGCATTCGCGAAAAGAAGGACGACGCCTCCAAGGAGAGCCTGCACTTTTATGATAGTTTCTCCAAAGTTTGGGTAGAATTAAAGAAAAGAAAATCCTCGAGCGCGAATTACAGTGCCCAGCCTCACACATAGTCTTGAGTTCCCGAAGTTGCTAAGTGAGCGAGCGCACCGCAACGCGTCGAGTAGTAAGCAAACCCGACCCCGCTCCTGGGTGCTAATGATGCAAAACACCCCCCCACACGTTTCTGGGAACAGTCCTGCTGCACGAATTTCACACTTAAAAAAAAATAATAAGGTTGTGGAGTCGGATGAATTATATCTCCCTCTCATTCTAACCATTCTCATTATCTTTAAAAATGTCAATTGTGAAGATATACCTCAGATATTACAAGATGACCAGGCCAACTGCTCAAAATTTGCATCTCTGACGTGATCATAAGGAAACTCTTAGGATGCTTAATAAATCACTTTTGTGGTCCATTTCTCACAAATATATTTTAAGTGTTTAAAACTTTACAACTGTCTGAGTAAAACTCTCCTTGCTCTTTTGTACCTTGCTAAGTAAGAATACACAATAAAGGGAAAAGACTGTCTTTATCCTAAAGAAGCCAGAACAGAAGAGCCACCTTGGGGGGGGGTCTTCTTTTCAGCTCTTTTTTCCCCCTATAACCCTCATTATAGCTAACACTGATAACAAACGAAGGAAACAATAGAACTCATAAAATTTAGAAATGGTAATAAATCTTGGAGCTTGTCTCCTCCAGCCCAGTTCTCTGTTACAGTTATATTCAAAAATTTTTTAGTACGTGGTGCTGAACATTCACACTAAGTGGATGCAGTATATCTAGTATATATTGTTTTCTTGCATTCACACTACTAGATTTTAAAAAATATATAGAACTCACTATTACAGGACTGTGTATTCAATGCCAGGGTGTCACTGATGGACAAACCATGCAGGTGTCCTCTATGACATCTGCCTGTAACTGTAAGGTGCAACCTGTAGTCCAGCCCCAGCAGTCTAAGTATGTTAAACTTGTGTCTCCACAGAATCAGTGTCTCTCTTTTACACATAACACACACGTGTCTCCACAGAATCAGTGTCTCTCTTTTACACATAACACACACAGTTCCGTTGTTTCAGGCCATTAAGAAAAACTGATAACGTAGTGCCAAACTGTACCACATGCTTCCTCCTCCAAATGCATCCCTAGAAAGCATAGAGGCAGCTCACTACGTGACCATCAGGCTCTTTGCCTCACTGAGTTGTTGTCATGGGAGGGCAGCAATGGCTGGTAGCTCATCCAAGCCCTCAGCAGTAATAAAAAAAAAAGTGAGGGGGGAGTAGGAGAAAACATGCAAGACTTTGCTGTCTGTTTTGCAAACCTCTGCTCGCAGCAAACTGCCCACGCTGCTGGTGATGTTGTGGTGTTAACACAGCCAGCAGTGCACCAGATAATGGGGTCCAAGCTGGCTGCATGCATTCCCATGGCCCCTCCACCCTTTGTCACACAGATATAGAGCTCTGCAAAAAGAAAATAGGACCCAGCCTCCCTCAAAGCCCCTATTCCTACCTGTGGGAAATGCATGCCTGAGGCTTTAACAAACCTCTAAAATGTGCTCTGGAAGAAGATAATGGGCCTATCCTCCAGATTCACTTTGAGCTTAGGAAAGATCCCTGCTGTGCCATCTGATATGAAGGATGGGAAAAGGACAGGTTCTTGCCCAGCCGCTGAGACAGAGCTGATGCCAGCCTGCTCTAGGGGTCCAACTCCCCATGGGCCAAAACTCAGCCAAGTTGTCAAGTACCCCACCTGAAGGTGATGCCTGCCCATTTTAGCTGGAGCATCAGGTGTTTCTCCCCTACCGCTATTGATTTAGAAACTATCTACTTTCTCCTCTGCTAAAATCCAGCCTGGAGCTGAAGGGACTGGGTGGCAACTGTTACTGCTGCCTTCCTTTCTTGGAGAGCAGAAGGTCTCTGCAGCCACTTCCTTCTTTGTTGTGGGAGGTTTTCAGACATGGGGAAGGGGAGCACCAGGTCAGTCAGGTATGAGACTCTCCAAAAAGATATGTAGACAACACTTAACTTTATAGGCGTTCTTTGGGTTTATTGCATCAAACTGAGGGTCAATGCTTGACTACTGAGTTTAAACTGAGTTGCCACCTGAGCTATAACCACTCCCACTCAAGGAATGTGAGACACTGATGAGGAACTGCAGGAAATGGCATAGAGAGCCAAAGTGCTGGCACATAGACCTACCAGCTCATACCTTGAAACGATCAGGAAAGCCCACAATCCAGATATGGCCAGAAGGAGGTTGTGTATCAACTGAGAACAACAAATACGTGATGGGCCACTTGAAACAGACTAAAGGCTGGTGGTCACCCAAGTTCTAGGCACCCTAAGTATTCCCATCAACAAACCATCTGCATACAGCAAGCAAGCAATCTGCAACAATTTCAGCACTAGAGATTAAATTTTACACATAAGACTCTCAAGTAGCCATAAAGTTATTATCAGGTTGTTGTTTTACACTTGCAAAAATAACTTATTTCCCTTGGCAGTTAGATTGAGGGGAACTGTAAAACAGATATTCTAATTTGATCACTGACAAAGTTATAAAATTAAATGACTCTTTGTTGTGGAAAATATGCTTTCATTATCTTAATTAAGTCAAGATAGGCCTCTATCAATGCACATGCATTTTGGAGCCACAGAGTAGACTGGTGATCAGAAAAATCAATCTCTAAATGGGGCCATGCTTTTCCAGTACATTGGTTTGTGTTCTATTGCATAGACCCAGCTTGCATGTGGCTCTGACCTTTGGTGAAAACCCAGCTGTGGGAACACAAACCCAATTGCTCATGTGGTTTTTCTAGTGCCTCATAAAAGACCCCAAGTTCTGTGAAGGATTTTGAGCACAGAGGCATCTTTTAACACGTAGTACTTTTGATTTTGGTTAAGCTCAATGTATGTGTTTAAAACTTATCACATGGTTCTACAGTGAAAGATGGGACTGTTATAATTAATAGTTATCATGGAGTGCCTCTTAAAACCTGTCATTTTTTTAAAATAAACAATTCATTGGTAAGTAGTATGTATATGGTGTATTTGAGGTAGGCACTAGCTGCTGGCAAAGTTTGTCACACATAGGTGACACAGAAGGACAATTTTATTAATAAGATAACATCCTTCAGCTAGTCCAGGATCCAGTTTATGAATCAACTTGTATTATTTATAGGTTAAAAATATAGGCATCAAGGACTGTGGTTGTAGCACAGTGGTAGAGCACTTGCCTAGCCTGTGTGAGGCACTGGGTTCAATTCTCAGCACCACATATAAAGAAATAAAATAAAGATCCATTGACAACTAAAAAATATATATTAAAAATTATGTAGGTATCAGGTGAATATAATTCAGTATCAGATGAATCAAACATCTTCTAACTTTCCAGAAGTGTCAACTCTTTCTCCTTCTGCTGCTGACCCTTCAGTTTGGAATATCCTGCAATCTAGGTCTCAGGAATGCCTACATTATTAGTGACACCTCCTTCTTAGCAGTGATTTAACTGAATTTCTTGTGTATAATATTGATGACGCTGGGGTGGGGATATAACTCAGGTGGTAGAGTGCTTGCCTTGCATGCCCAAGGCCCTAGGTTCAATCCCCAGCACCACAAAATAATAACAACAACAACCCTGTTTTTTGTATGGACCCTTTCCAATAACAGAGCTCCTGGAGCAAAGGGACTTTATCTTATTCATCTTGGAACCCATAGAACCTAACACGTGGACTGGCCTATAGAAGATGCTCAATAAATGTTTATTCAATAAATGAATGGCTATGTGAATAAAATATTTTATTATATTTAGTCATTATTCTGACTTCCTATTTTTAAAAAGGAATACATCATGAACAATTTACATTGAAAATATATTTAATAAGTACACTTTTCTACTTCTCTGACCATCAGTGTTTTAATGGAACTTAGTTTTGAAGTTCTAGTCATTAGAAGGTGCCACCTTTGAACTTGGTTGACTTGTCTCATAAATGTAGCTGGAAGCAAAGACCAAAAAAAAAAAAAAACGTAAGAGGCAAAGAGATCAAATCAAATTTTGTTTTTCTTTTTGAGTAAAATGCAGCATTACTGAATATTGAGAAAAATTTGAAATGAGCACCTAACAAATGTAGACTTTTATATTAAATTTGACATTATAACAAAACCTTTAGTATTTTCCAAATTTTCTTTGGATTTTTAATGGTAAGAAGTACAGAGCTTAAGATGACTGCTTTTCATTTCTTCAAGACAAGGGTTCAGCTGGTATTGGGGAAACAATCTCTGTTTGTTCCTGTCTGCTCAGGAGGACTGTTTCTAATTGATCTGGCATGGAATTTAGTTGGAGATGTGTATGTTGCAACCGAAGCGCAGAGCCTGTATGCTTTGTAAAGTGATAACCATATGGGCCTTATTTGAAACATTTGAGGATTTTAGACATTAACCTGGGTTAAATTGAGCTATAAATTCAACTCAAATGTATATGTCCTGACAAATTCATCATCACTTTGGATAGACTCAATCCATGCTCCCCTCAGATTAATAAAGATGATGACCGCTTATCACAAATGCAAAGGTTCACTGTGATAAAGTACCATAATGTTGTACTTTGCACTGTTTAAATGCAAATTGCCCATATTAAGCAGACATTTTCTACTGTTATCACTTTCAGTAGAATGGAAATGTTTAAAAATGATCTCTGAGTAAAGAAAAGGATATATAGTCAAATCTATTTCCTCTTACACAATTTTCAAGTGCACTTTGCTATCATCATGAAGATTTAATTAAGCAAGCCCAGCTAAGCTAAAAAGCAAAGCCGCTGGAAATTACTACTTATAGAAACATATTTGGGACTTATACAAAATAATTTATTTACTATTCTTATTTAGGGATGTGAGCAACCATTGAAGGTTAAACATACAACAGAATTCTCTAGATTCCTTCTCCTATTTCTGAATATCAAATTTAGAGCTTACACTTTGTTACAGATAATAGTACTAAGTTATAGATGTTGATGGTCCTTCCCTTGCAGCTTTAAATTGCCTTGAAAAAGATACAGTTTCTTTAATTAAAAAAGCTGCACAGAACTAATCCCTCTAGCTGAAAAAAGAAAAGTTTTAAGCAATCTCTTTCTGCTCCGAGAGAGAAAGGCAGACAATACCATAACAGATCAGAAACATAAGCTATAGTGTGCAGCCAGGAGCACAGCAGGGAACTGAATACTGCTCCGACTGTGTCATTTTTTAATCCCCCATCCCAGTTTTCCCCGTCTGACCTCATGCTGAGATGAAGTTATCACAGAAGACAGCTTTACTCTCACCAATGAATCCAACCCTGGATCTGTATTATCCTCAGCAGATCAAAACACCGCTTTCATCAAATAGCATTATCTGCATAAAAGGCATGCAATTGCCCGATAATTTCACCCAAACTATGCTATTCATTTAAAGGACAAGAA